CTATTTCTTCAACGTTCTTGAAGGCGTTCCAAGCTGCTCTTTTCCTCCTGCACAGCTCGGGTGCCAGGTCAATTGTCATGTTGACCTCTCGACCGAGGTACACATAGCTGTTGCATTCAGAGATGGTCGTTCCATTGAGAGCGAATGGGGGCGTCAGGAACAAGGCTGTTTCTCATAAACATTGTCTTTGTAAGATTCAGCTGTGGTCCTACCTTTCCACACTCACGGTCAAAGTCGGCCAGCATTTGTGCCGCTTGGCTGATGTTTGGTGTTATTAAAACAATGTCATCAGCAAAGCGGAGGTGGTGTAGTTGCCGACCATCTATCTTCACTCCCATTCCTTCCCATTCCAGTCGTCGCATGATGTTCCCGAGGGTGGCACTGAAGAGTTTCGGTGAAATGGTATCACCCTGCCGCACCCCTCTCTTGACATCAACGATCACTTCTTTGTAGAATGGTGAGATCCTGGTAGTGAATCCGCAATACAGCTCACGGAGGATCCTGATGTATTGGGCTTGAATGCCCTGATTGGCTAGGGCTTCAATGACTGCTTCCGTCTCAACAGAATCAAAGGCCTTCTTTAAATCAATGAATGTTAAACAGAGCGGCATATTGAACTCCCGAGAAACCTCAATGAGCTTGGTTATCATGTGGATATGGTCGATGGTGCTGAATCCTTTGCGGAACCCTGCTTGCTCGCATGGTTGTCCTTCATCTAGTGTTCTGCCAATCCTATTTAGGATGACTCGAGTGAACAACTTGTAGATGACAGACAATAGGCAGATCGGGTGATAGTTGCCAATGTCATGGATGTCTCCCTTCTTGAACAGTAGTACTGTCCTGCTGGTTTTCCATTGGGACGGAACCTTGCATTCAGACAGGTAGCGTGTGAAGAGCCGAGCCAGTGTATTGATGAGTACTGAAGGCAGGTTCTTCAGGTGTTCAGGTCTGACCTTCTCTGGGTCGGGTGCTGTTTGTTTCTTTACCTACGAAATGGCGTGTCGGATTTCGGAAGGGAGAACGTTGGGAACGACATATCCATCCTGTGGAATTTGGTATGTCGGCAAGTGGACATGGCTATCGAAGAGATTTGAGTAGAAGTCATGGATAATCTTCTCCATTGCCGTTCTGGAGGATGGGATGGATCCGGCAGGACGTCGGAGGGCAGTCATCTTGGTCTTATAGTTGGCGAAGGACAGGCGGGCGTTACGAATACTTTTCCCAGCTTCTGCCGCATCTACCAGTACTTCTGCTCTTCTCTCTTTGAGGTCTTCCTTGATCGCATCTCTGCACTGCTTTGCAAGCTCGGACGTTAGCTTGCAGTTGCGTGAGGCATGCGCCAAACCATGCTGGCGAATTAGCTCAAGAGTTTTCGAAGATAGGCGGTTTTTTGTGGCTATCTCTCTCTTGGCGTTCCTCGCACATTCATGGAGGTGCTGAACCAGTTGATCGTATTCCTCGTCAATGTTGTCAACAATGGCATCTTCCCATGTTGCCGCAATAGTGCCAAAGAGTTCCCAGTTGGTGGTCATTCTGGGAGTTCTCTTTTTGAACTTTGCAGCCCTTTCTCCCTGCTCTGTGAAGTAGAATTTTGCACGAAGGAGATGGTGGTCCGATCCCGTTCGAAATTTTGGGACAACAGCGACATTAGTCAGGCAAAACCGTCGATTGAATATGATGTGGTCTATTTCATTGTGGAATCATCCACCGGGAGACTCCCATGTCCATCGTTTAGATTCTGCCTTCTGGAACTGTGAGTTACCATGGATGGTCTTGGTCGACATGATGAACTCAGACAGTCTCTCACCCTGTTCGTTCCATTCTAGGCCATGGGTCCCTATGTGAAGTTCTTCAGCTGATCTTCTTGGTCCTATCTTGGCATTAAAATCACCCACAATGATCTTGTAGAAGGTGTGGTCTTCTTTATAGAACTTCTCTAGCTCCATGTAGAGCTGCTCGATTTCTCTTTCATCATAATGAGATGTTGGTGCGTAGAAAACGAAGATAGAAACTGCAGGCAGTGAGTCACATCTATTCAAATGTAAACATCCAATTCGGGTTGTTAGGCATTCGAATGAATCAATGCTCTTGGCCAAGTTTGTGTTGACCTAGGACACCGACGCCTCCAACACCTCTTTTATCGCATGTTCCGAGGAACAATTCTTCTCCAGTGTCAAAAACGGCATGGTGAGATTCGTGCCTTCTTGTCTTGGTCAGACCAATGATGTCGTACTTGATCATTCGCGCTTGTACCATCAGGTCCTCAATGGATGCATCTGATGCTCGCGTACGTGCATTGACAGACGATCATTTTTGTCTTCCTTCGTTGTGGCAGCCTAGGTCAGCCTTGAGATTTTGTCGGCCTCTCCTTTCTCATCCTTCTCAGTGCTGCCATGTCGGTGAAACCTTCAGGGTCAGGTGAATGAGACCAGTTGTAGTTACTGGTTTTGGCATATCGAATACACAGCAGATAGCTTGCCAGTCTTTCTGAGAGGGATAGAGGCTTTTGGGGCAACCTCTAATCACCCTTGTAGGTGTTACCATATTTGAACCCTATCAAATATGGTACGACAATTCCGGAAGATGGGTATTTAGTGTCTTATGATGTGTCGCGCAGCCGCTTGCGGCCGTGCAGGTCCGGAAAGCGTCCTGGAGTGTGGCGATGGCTGGGTAGTGAAAGTAGTGTGGAGAGTGGAAGTCTGCCAGTGGGGTATTTATCTGGGTAGGGTGGGTCTCCTGTGCGCAATTCGATCCCTGGGTGGTTGATGGAAGCAGACAGGGCAGGATAGGGTGGGGCTCCTGATTAGAATCCCTTTGTCACCTGTGGTGGTGGGAGCAAGCAGAGAAGCTCTGTCCCTGGGTCCGAATATTAACTTACAATACAATTTCAGTGTCCTAGAAAGATCTGACCTTACAAATAATTAACAAATTCTGATTAGGGGGGAAAGCTGATTAACTGGTCGGGGAAGAGAGCATAGAGAAGTGGTTACAGATAAATGAAGGAATGGGAGTGACTTGGGAGCACTGTGATGGGTGTAACCTGATAAACCTAAGGTCCTTGTGGCAAGGGAGAAAGGACAAAGCAATGTCATCCTACAACATAGACTGTAGGATAATATTGGTTTGTCCTTTCTCCTCTGCCGCAGGGAGCTTAGGTTTATCGGGTTACACCTGTCACAGTGCTCCTGAGGCACTCCCAGTCCTCTGTGTTTATCTTTAACCTCTTCTCTGTGCTTGGCTTCCCCTATGTGTGAATCATCATTATCCCCAAATCAGACCCTATTATGACTTGTATGGTCAGATTCTTCTAAGGACTCTGAATTTCATATTGTGAGGACCCACTTAGCCAGAGAACTGCCATGACAGGCTTCGCTGCCTTCTGAGAGACCTATGCTTCTTCCAGGAACAAGAAAAGCAGAAAAACCAGATGCTTTTGTTGAAGATTATATCTCCAGAATAAGATTAGTTCTCCAGAATGTAATTGTCAGGGAGGTAGGCTGGATGTTGCGGCCCAAAACAACAACAAAATAGTTGGACCAGTAGGCATTCCCACCAGCAGTGAAGGAGGGTCCCTTTCTCGCCACATCCGCGCCAGCACCGGTTGCTTTTGTTCTTGTGGATGTGGGCCAGTCTCTGTGGTGTGAAATGATTTTCATTGTTGTTTTGATCTGCATCTCTCTGATGATTAGTGATGTAGAGCGTTTTATCATGTGCCTTTTCACCATTCAGATTTCTTCTTTGCGAAAGTTTCTGTTCATTTCCTCGCCCCATTTTTTGATGGGGTTGGGTGCTTTCTTCTTGTGGAGTTCAACCAGTACCTTGTATATCCTTGATATCAACCCCTTGTCGGATGTGTATTTGGTGAATATTCTTTCCCATTCTGTAGACTGTCTTTGTAGTTTGGTCACTGTTTCTTTTGAGGTGCAGAAGCTTCTTAGTTTAAGATAGTCCCATTTGTCTATCTCTGTTTTCACTTGCTTGTCCAGTGGCGTGACATCATTGAAGATACCATTAGCTTCAATATCATGGAGGGTTTTGCCAACTTTGTCTTCAATGAACTTTATGGATTCCGGTCTGATGTTGAGGTCATAAATCCATTTTGATCTTACAGTATGGACGATTCTCAAAAAATTAGAATTTGATCTCCACTTTGACCCAGCAATACTACTCCTGGGAATATATCCCAGAGAGGCAAAAAAATATAGTTGAAGTGACATCTGCAATTGTTTGTTCATTGCAGCACTCTTTACAATAGCCAGAATCTGGAAAAAAAAACTGAGTACCCGAGAACAGAAGACTGGTTAAAGAAACTTTGGTACATTTACACAATGGAGTACTATGTAGCTGTTAGAAAAGATGAAGTCATGAACTTTACATGCAAGTGGTACTACATGGAAAGTATCATGTTAAGCGAAATGAGTCAGAAAGAGCGGAATAGACACAGAAAGATTGCATTCATCTGGGGAACATAAAGCAACAAAATGGTAGACTAACACCCAGGAGTGGCTGAGATTAGTACCAGGAATTTTGCTCCATGATTTGGAGGCCAGCCAGATGTGCTAGGGGAAAAGGAAGCTTAGATAGAAAAGAGAGCACCAAATAAAGGGTGTTGTGAGGATCCTCCCAGAGTGGGAGAAGAGTGCTGAAAGTAGACTATAGACCAAACATGATTGCCACTCAATGCCTCTCTTGCAAAACACAGGACACAAAATAAGAGAGAGAGAACAAGGGGGAATGCCCTGCCACAGAGGCAGAGTGGGCTGGGGGGGTTGGGGCGTGGGAGAGATGCTGGGACCTGTGGTAGTGGAGGATGGGCGCTGTCGGAGGGATGGGTACTTGATCATTGTATAACTTAAACCCAAGCACAAAAATTTGTAAGTCTACAACTGTACCTCATGGTGTTTCACTAATAAAAAAATATATATGTATACTCTGTAGGGAAGAGAAAATTGATGAGTAATGCTTACTTGTCAAAATGAAAGTATAAGAACTTGCAAAACCTACTGCTCAGGGTCCTTGTTGAAGTCCACTGCGTCAGGCGGATACTTGGATCCCAGCTATTTGGAAGCAATTAATCTCGTTATGTAATTTGCATTATAGGCTTTGCTCTCTGTCTTTGAGTGGTGGTCGACTCCCCACGCTAACAGTATTTGGTGGAAGGAAGTGAGCCCTTTGGTGATAGGTGTGGTGTTGAAACAAAGTATGTATGAATAGTATAATTAACAGTATTCTAAATCACGGCACTTCAACAAAAATGGTAAAGAGGAAAAAAATCAAGCCAAATTCACAAGCACTTGCTGAAATTTTATAGTAAATAAACTATTTGAATTTTCCTAGGACTTAAGAAAATATCAAAGGATGAGGAGCTGAAGTTGATGTAGGCAGGCAGGCAGATAGAAAAGGACCACTCCCAAGGCAATGTCAGTAAATTTCCTGGGAAGTAATAGCCCTGAAGTTGCCAACCTTGCAGAAAACAGGGACTAAGGCCTGATAATACCCTCGGTGCCAGAAATCGACCCAGAAGAGTTCCAGCAGAAATAAAAGGCCAGGAAAAGAATTTCAAAGAAGGCCATCACCATTCCCAACCCTGCCCTACTAGGTGACCTCCTCAACAAAGGACTTTTATCTAGGTAGAAGCCCCACATGGGGACAGGTTGGAAAATCCCTACAAAAGCCACCCTGAACAAAGGAAGGTGCACATATGCTGCCTGAGCCTATGTGCTGCTTTGCATCCACGTGGCTGATCACATGTGTCTCCCACATCTCCCCTCTTGAGGTGTGTACCTTCATGCTTTCAAATCTAATGCTGGGATGTGTGTAGGGGCTCTCTTTGCCCTTGGAAAAGCCTGGGTTCTCTCTTGAGTGTGTTACTCTCTCTTTCTCTCTTTCTCCTCCCCCACTTTTCTCTCCCTCCTCCCTTCCAAACCCTCCAAATAAAATCTGTTTTACTTTGCTGTTCATCTACTCCTGAAATTCTTTTCTGTGAGGAGAGACAAGAACCCATTAACCCTGGGTCCCAAGTGGCAGTGGCATATCGGGAGAAAGCGAACATCTTTCTGAAACTCCCCACTTCATATAAGTCACTGTGGGGTTCACCAACATTAAAGCTATAGCACAGTGAGTAAGAAACTTGCTTTGTACACCACCTACCTGCCTGTGGAGCAGGGCAACAGGCACTGGAGCAGGAAAATACTGACCTTGCAAAACAGCCCTGAAATGAAACCTTGAAGGTGGAGTAACTGGGCAGAGATAGCAAAGCAGGGAGACTGCATGAGGTGTCTGGCATTGAGCCTCACCAAAATGAGGCTAAATGTAGGAACCTAAAATGTAGGAACCATCACATATGCCTTAAGTAAGTCATCATAATCGAAACATATAGCCTTAAAGGAGATTGGACTGAGGCAAAGCAAACAGAAAGGAAAAAGTGATAGACCAAGAGTATTACCCTTTATGTGATTGATCCTCCTGTAAACCAAGACTCTCTATAAAAATGTGTGAATTTGGCTATAAAGTGAGCTGTGATCATCTGCCCCAGGAGGGGTTTCTTTGCGTGCTCCTCTTCTTTAGTCCTACAAGCAGGCTACTGCCCAGACCCAGTGTGCAACATTTCTGGGTGCCTGGGGATAACAGTTCCCCATCACCTACACAGGCATTTGTCATCATCCAGAGGTTATCAGGGATCCTGGTACATTCAGGGCCAGTAGCCTTTCCCAGCAAATAGATGGGAAACAGGTTGCAGTCAGATCACCAGACCAAAACCAACAATCTTCATTCAAAATTAAATAGACTTAATATAGAAAAGAGGAACTTCTAGAGTGGGTTAAAATACAGTGGGAAGTGTTGCACAAATAAGAGGCTTAACAAGAACACAGGAAATTGTGAGTATCCCTGGGGAGCCAATGTTCCATGGAAGCAATGCATTGAGTGTAACAAAAGGGGCAGCAGGTAATTCAATTAATACAATCTTCCAGAGAGAAAAAGAGACCTGAGCCAAAGTAAATTGCTTGTCACAGAGGAGCAAAGATTAACCACAGCAAATTACAAATTATGCAGAGATGCATCCCTTTTGGTACTCTCCTTTGCCATTTCTAGAGTGATATCTCAACTCAGGAAGAATACCTGGAAAGAAACTACAAATCCCCTGGATATTTAATCAAGAGGGTGGCATTTCCCAGATGCCTTGGAAGAAGTGACAGCAGAGGGTCCAACACTGAGGTTCAATCCCTTGGGTGATCACCCAAATAACACAAGGAGTGATCCCTGACCATCACTAGGTGTGTCATCTACCCCCAAAATAACTAAGCTTAAGGGGTAAAGGTAAAAAGGTAAAGGCCCTCCCGTTGATCGTCGATTTGCTCGAGCGGGCCCAGTAACGTCTCCATTGGAGACTTTGTTGTTACTGTGTCTGGCATATCGAATACTCTCGGTAGCTTGCCGGGCTCTCCGAGAGGGGCGGAGGAATCGAACTCGGGTCGGCCATGTTGGCCGCTTGTAAGGCGAACGCCCTACCGCTGTGCTATGGGGTGATTGGTAAAATTGAGACAGTAGTGGAGAGAAGGTGGCAGTGGTGCTGGAATTTATTGTGGAATATTGAATGCCTATAACAAATCATCATGAACAACTTTGTAAACCAGGATGTTTAAATAAAGTGGGAGAAAAAAAAAGAATACATAAAAGAATGAGATTTTAGTTTAGTCTATAAGGGAAGAGAAAAATTTATACAGCTATAATAAAATCAAAGTCCCTGAGTCAGAGGTATAGCCCTATGACACCACTCGGTCCCCTGAGCACCACCCAAAGGAATCCCAGAGTACTCTGGTATAGCTCCTGAGCATCATAGGTTATGACAGAAAAAGAAAGTTCCTTTATTAGACTCTATAAATTATCCAAAAATTAATGAAAACACAAAGTTATCTGGAAGAGTAAACCTGAGGTGACTGGATAAAATCATATAAAAATGACCTTTTTAAAACTTAATTATTAATTAATTTTTTGAAATACTATAATTTACAATTGTGCAATGAAAGTCCCAAGCATACATCATTCCAACACCATTCCCACCACCTGAATATCCTCTTCCCTCCACCAAATTCACAAAGGCCCCTTCAACATCCAACCCACCAGGTAACTCAGTTCTATTGAGCAACTCTCCATTTACTGTTTTCTTTGGCCATTTGCTGTTCCCTTTACTATTTTATTTTACAGAGCTTCTGTTTCCTGGTTTGTTTGAAGATAGTATGATGAAAGAAAAGAAAGGGAAAAATTCTGGCATATAAAATAAGAAACAAAAGAGGATATGTTATGATCATTGTATCAGTCTCACTGTCATTCCATTGTTTATTGATTTACTTGCGTGGCACCAGTAACCTCTCCATTTGTCCCAGCCCTGAGATTTTAGAGCCTGTCCTTACTCGTCTTTTTCAATGAAACTGCTGTATTGGGGGCTCTTTCAGGGTCAGGGGAATGAGACCTGTTACTCTTACTGTAGAAATCCAAAGGATCATAAGATTACTAAATATTATTTATATATTATTATATATTATTTATATTCCAAGAAAATAGAAAATCTAGAAGTTCACAAATTCCTAGAATCATGCAACTTTCCAGAATGAACTAGGAAGAAATGAAATTTCATTTTAGAAATAAAATTGAAAGCAAATAAACAGACCAATCACAAGCAATGACCATGAAACAGACACCAAGTCATCAGACACGGAATTGCTTGATTATACAAAAGTCCTCCTATTTCTTTGTCTCATTTTCTATCATAATACACACCAAAAATAAAGAAAGAAAGATTATTAATACATAAATTAATTTGTTTATTAAGAATTAATAAACAAATAAATAAAACATCCCAGCTTTGAAAATACAAGCAGGAAGAGATCTTGGATCTCTGAAAACTCCACTTCCAAGAGTCGTTTGTGCTCAGCTCCCCCTGCAGTCTCAAGCACTGTGTCACTGATGGCACAGAAGTACTTGGCTGAGTCTCTCCAGTGAGTAATGCGTTTTTTCAAGTTGAAGGAAGATTCTGTCTTCTTAAATTCAGACTCAAAATCTTTGATGCCTTTAACCAAGGTATCTTCTCGTGAGAATATCCTAAGGAGAAATTGGAGTCCTTGCCCAGGATACTGAACATACCAGTAGAGGTAGGGAGTTCCACCCGAGTACGAGTAATTGCACTTTAGCTCCAGGGAGTCTCCTTCAGAGACCATTGCTTGAAGATCTTGCTGGGTCACTGACTGGGCTCCAACAGCTCCTGCAAAACCAATGTTATATCATGAAAGCAGTGAAGACTTTGCTCTGAGTGTTTCTAGCTGGAAGCTGAAGAATTCTAGACCAGTCTAAAATTGTACTCACTCAGGACAAATAGAATCCCCAGGTTTGAGATGAGAAACGGCGGCATGACGGTGCAGTGAAAAACCCTGTAGTTCTTCCCTGAATAATTTCCCGCTGATCAGGTATGTGGCTGCACCTCTTTGGAACTAGAGTATGAGAGAAAAGTTAAACTGGAAACCTTCCTTGCTTAGATGAAAGCTTCTGAGATGAGGCTGGCACCTTCTGACTTGTCACCTGTCTGCAAAGAACTCAGCTGCAGGGGGGATGTAAGACTGAGCAGATGATGCTGATCAACAAACTCTCTAGTTTGTGCGACATCGCCCTCTGGAGGCCAGTATAAAACCAAAGGTTTTCCAGGCCCCATGAACTCATTAACATATTACATCTTTTTTCTAAGCTCTACCAAAATTTCTTTTTTTTTGGGGGGGGGGTGGGGCTCATCCGGCCATGAACAGGGCTTGCTCCTGGCTCTGCACTTAGGAATTAGTCCTGGCAGTGTTCAGGGATATGGGATGCTGGGAATCAAACCCGGGTCAGCTGTGAGAAAGGCAAACGCCCTACCTGCTGTGCTATTGCTCCAGCCCCTCTACCAAAATTACTACACACTGTGTTTCTCTCTTCCCCAGTTCTGTGATGGTGCATTCATTCTAAAATCTTTTAGAAATGAGATGTTTTGTTAACATGAACTACCAAGTTAGTTCACTGAGAAAAGAATTTGGGATTTTTGTTTGTCCACTTGAAGCACTGTGATTTACAAAACTGTTAGGGTTTCATGGTTTCATGCATACAATGTTGTGAGAACAGCTGCCACCCATAAGCGGGTCTGATGTTCTCCACCATTGTCTCAGGATCCCCTCCCTATCATTCTCCCAACCCATTACCTCCCATCTAGTAAGTTCGCTTCTGGAGAACAACTCTCAGGTTCTGCTCCCTTGACATATGTCATTCCCTTAATAAGTTTCCTAATATCCCACCTATAGAGAGATCATTTTGTGTCTGTCCCTTTCCTTCTGACTGACTTATTCAGCAGAGAACACTAGTGATAAATTGTATATCTCTTTTCCTTAGACTTGAGTATAAAAAGTATTTGTATTCTGTTTACTAATTGGTACTATTAGAAGTATTAGTATTACAAGTATTAGTATTCTGTATACTAATTAATATTCTGTATACAACCATTTCTTAATCCAATAATCTGTTCTTGGGGACACAGGTTGTTCCCAGATTTTGACATTGTAAATAGTGCTGCAGTAAACATAGGAGCATAAATGTATTTTTAAAATGGTGGTTTAGGGTCCTTGGGGGAGAGTGCAAAGTAGAATTTCTAGATCATATGGAAGTTCAGTTCTTTTAGAGATGTATCTACATTGCTTTTCAAAGAGGTTAAACCAGTCAACATTCCCACCAATGGAGGTTGAGGGTACATTTCCTCCCACAACCCCACCAACACTGGTTGTTTTTGTTTCTTTTAATGTGTATCAATCTCATTGGTGTGAGGCAATACCTATTGTTTTGGTTTACATATCCCTGATGACAAGTTATGCAGAGGATTTTTTTTTTTTTGCTTTTTAGTCACACCTGGCATTGCTCAGGGCTGACTCCTGGGTCTGCACTCAAGAATTCAGGAATTACTCCTTGCAGTGCTCTGGGGACCATATGGGATGCTGGGAATCAATCCGGGTCAGCCGAATGCAAGGCAAATGCCCTACCAGCTGTGCCATCGCTCCAGCCCTGTGCAGAGCATTTTTTATACATGTACTGGTAATTTGTATATTTTCCTTGAGGAAATGTCTGTTCATCTCTTCTCCCCATTTCTTGATCAGATGTTTGGTTTTTGGTTTTTGACTTTTTTTTGTTATGCTTTACACATGCTTTATAAATCTTAGACAGTAACCCTTTCTCAGATGAGTGGTGGGCAAATATTTTCTCCTAGCTTGTTGGATATCTTTTTATTCTACTAATCATTTTATTTTTGGCATTATGTTTTGTTTGGGGGCCATACCAGCAGTGCTCAGAGCTACTCCTGCAGTGTTCAGGGGACCACATGGGTTGCTGGGGATCAAATGTAGGTGGATCACATGCAAGGCAAGTGCCCTACATGCTGTAATATCTCTCTAGCACCAAGTCACTATTTTTCTTTTTTGATTTTTATTTTCGTTGCTGTTGTTGAAAACTGTAGCACAGTTCTCCTGTTGTCCATCGATTTTCTCAAGCGGGCACAAGTAATGTCTCCATTATGAGACTTGTTGTTACTGTTTTTAGCATATTGAATACATCACGGGGAGCTTGCCAGACTCTGCCATGTGGGTGGAATACTTCGGTAGTTTGCTGAGTTCTCAGTAGCTTGATGGATGAATCAAACCAGAGTTGGCTGCGTGCAAGGCAATCGCCCTACTTGCTCTGATATCTCTCCACCCCCGCTGTGCTATCAGCAAATTACCACTGGTTATAGCCATAATGGACTACAAATACCATTGGGCTTTCCCCTATTTATAAGGAAAGGGGAAAAATTTTAACAAATAGAAATAAGAAATAAAAGAAGAAATGTTATGACATAGTGCTAGGGTCCAGAGTCAGCCACCCCTCAAGGTCAGAGGAAAGAGCTGATAATGCAAATTACATAGTGAGGTTTATTGTTCCAGCTAGTTGGGTTCCAAGTATCTGCCCTGAGTAGCGGGTTTCAACAAGGACTCCGAGCACTAGGTTCAGCAAGTTCTTATACTTTCATATACTTTCATCTTAGCAAGTAGGCATTACTCAGCAATTTTATATTATCTATAGAGTAAATATTTTCTTGTTGTTGTTGTTATTGTTGTTTTGGTCTATAACATCCAGCCCACTTCCTGGCAGTTACATTCTGGAGACCTAATCTCATTCTGGAGATGTACTCTTTGACAAAAGCATCTGCTTTTTCTGCTTTTCTTGTTCCTGGAAGAGGCCTAAGTCACTCAGAGGCCCCAAAGCCTGTCATGGCAGTTCTCCAGCTATGCGGGTCCTATAATAGCACAGAAATCCAAAGGATCCTAAGACTGTTATAATATCTATATTCCCAATATGGAAAATCTAGAAGAAATTCACATATTCTTAGAATCATGCATTTTCCAGAATGAATTAGGAAGAAATAAAATTTCATTTTAGAGATAAAATAAAATTGAAAACAACTAAACAGACCAATCACAAGCAATGACCATGAAACAATAACCAAATCATCAGACACAGAATTGCTTGATTATACAAAAGTGCTCCTCTTTCTTTGCCTCATTTTCTATCATAACACACACCAAAAATAAATAAATAAATAAATAAATAAATAACCCAGCTTTGAAAATACAGCAGGAAGAGATCTTGACTCTCTGAAAACTTCACTACCATGAGTGGTTTGTGCTCAGCTCCCCCTGCAGTCTCAAGCACTGTGTCACTGATGGCACAGAAGTACTTGGCTGAGTCACTCCAGTGTGCAAGACGTTTTTTCAAGTTGAAGGAAGATTCTGTCTTATTAAATTCAGCCTCAAAATCTTTGATACCTTTAACCAAGGGATCCCCTGAGAAGAACTTAAGGAGAGGTTGGAGTCTTTTCCCAGGATACTGGACATACCAGTAGAGGTAAGGAGTTGCACCATAAGAGTATTTGCACTTCAGCTCCAGGGATGCTCCTTCAAAGACTGAGGCTTGAGGATCTGGCTGGGTCACTGACTGGGCTCCAACAGCTCCTGCAAAACCAATGTTATATCATGAAAGCAGTGAAGACTTTGCTCTGAGTGTTTCTAGCTAGAAGATGAAGAACTCTAGACAAGTCTAAAATTGTACTCACTCAGGACAAATAGGATCCCCAGGTTTGAGATGAGAAAAAGTGGCATGGCGGTGCAGTGAAAAACCCTGTGGTTCTCTTCTGAATAATTTCTCCCTGATCAGGGATGTTGCTGCACCTCTTTGGAACCAAAGTGTGAGAGAAAAGTTAGGCTGGAAACCTTTTTTGCTTAGATAAAAATATGAAAGCTTCTGAGATGAGGCTGGCACCTTCTGACTTGTCACCTGTCTGCAAAGAACTCAGCTTGCAGGGGGATGTAAGACTGAGCAGATGATGTTTGATCAACAAACTCTCTAGTTTGTGCGACATCGCCCTCTGGAGGCCAGTATAAAACCAAAGGTTCTCCAAGCTCCATGAACTTATTAGAATATTCCTACTTTTTTCCTGAGCTCTACCCAAACTTCCACTCAGTGTTTTTCTTTCTTACCAGTTCTGTGATGGTGCATTCATTCTAAAATATGTTAGAAATGAGATGTTTTATCAAAGTAAACTACCAAGTTAGTTCACTGAGAAAAGAATTTGGGATTTTTGCTTGCCCACTTCAAGCACTGTGATTTATAATACTGTTAGGGTTTCATGCATACAATGTTATGAGAACACCTGCCACCCACAAGAGTGTCTGATGTCCTCCAACCATTGTCTCAGGTTTCCCTCCCTATCATTCTCCCAACCCATCACCCCCCACCTAGTAAGATCGCTTCTGGAGACCAACTCTCAGGTTCTGCTGCCTTTGACATATGTCATTCCCTTACTGTGTTTCTTTATATCCCATCTATAGAGAGATAATTCTGTGTCTGTCCCTTTCCTTCTGAGTTACTTATTCAGCAGAGCACACCAGTGAGAAATTGCATATCTCTTTTCCTTAGACTTGAGTATAAGAAGTATTCAGATTCTGTTTATAATTGGTACTATTAGAAGTATTAGTATTAGAAGTATTAGTATTCTGTATACTAATTATTGAGTATTCTGTATACAACAATTTCTTAATCCAATCTTGGGGACACAGGTTATGTCCAGATTTGTACATTGTAAATAGTGCTGAAATAAACATAAGAGCATGAATGTCTTTTCAAGGTAGTGGTTTGGGGCCCATGGGGTAGAAGCCAAAAGTAGAATTACTAGATCATATGGTATTTCAGTTCTTTTTTTTCATTTTTTATAATTTTATTTATTGAATAACCATGAGAGCAGTTACAAAGCTTTTGGGTCTAAGTCTCAGTCATACAATGAAATACACATACCTTCAGCAGTGCCCATTCTCCACCCCTAACAACC